ACTCTTTTCTTAAATGGAGTCATGGGTTTTTTAGCATACACCCAAACAGACAGACTTGTTGGTTTAATGTATTGTGAAGGATGGCACCTCCAGAAACTCAGTGCTTCCCCCAACACTGCACTGAAAAGTCAGCCTGGACTATGAACTCCAAACTACTTCCAGGATTTGATCCTATTCACTGAGAGGCAAGAATGCGACCCACTAGGCTTGGCTGACACACTGTTTGCAGCTTTGGACTACAGTAATGACCATAATAATATCAATAAAGCAGACTGAAAATGTTGCAATAGGTGATCAGGCCACTTTGTAAACACTGAATCTGCTTATATTTACCAAGATCCCAATGGTATTCCATACGTTGACTGCCATCTCTCAGTTGGACTGATGGTGGAACGGATTCCATGGAGCACACAGCAACAATTGGAAGGTGATTGAGATCGAGCTACACTAGCTGTCATCCCGATTGCTTGGCTCAGCATGGCTTTGCAAGGGCCTGGGAGCAAGTTAGCTTTTGTGTCTTAACAGGGGATTTCCTAAAGAGCTTGGCTAGGTAACTGCAAAATTGGAGTTCTTTAGCATATTAGAGCACCTGCCTCGCAAGTGAGAGGACCCGGGTTCGATTCCCGGACAGGATGAAACCTTAAGGCAAGTTTCCTTACTCAACATGCCTCTGTTTGCCGAGCAGTAAGTAGGAACCCAGTTGTTAGTCGATTAGTGGATCTCTTTCTGGTGGTAATAATCCCTTAAAAAAAATTGGTCACTCAATTCACGACTATTTGTGGGACACTGCTGTGTGCAATTGGCTGCTGCATTTTGCCCACAAAATATACAGTCAATTCACTTTATAATATATTCTGTGAAGTGCTTTGAGATATCTCACTGCATGACAAGGAGCTATATCAAATGCAATAATAATCATAATAATCCTTTCATTTGATATAGTGCCTTATGCAATAATAATGACAAAAAATTGTTATTATTATCATTACTGTTATTATTATTCAGAAGCGAATTTTGAACCACCATTTGGGTCCCATCAATTTGCTTGTGTCTTTAAGGTTAGCCTGAAGTGGTTACGTCAAGAGCAAAATCAAATCCACACCCAATATGTCAGTTTAGGCTGATAATCACAGTATTATATCCACAAAGAAATAATTTTATTCAGTTTCCTTAATATATACAATAAAATGAAACACTCTACACGCCAATGCATATGCTTCAGCCACTCGGTGTTTAAGAAGCAATCCACAGTCATGGTTTTCACAGTTCCTTTAAAATGTGTTGTATTGGTCTGAAATGCTTCTTTGGGATGCATTCCTTAAAGAGACTGGAGTCTGACCACGTATTGCTCAGGATCATGTCTGAAGTCTCTCTGTGCGGATTTCGTTGCCTTGTAGCTTGTGATCCTCCAAACAGGACTGTGTGAGAGGGTGAGAGGACTCCTCAAACCAAACATGCTTTGCTTGTCAGCTTCCACACTCTTCTGCATCAAGCAGCCAGTCATCACTGTGTATTGGGGGCTGGATTGTTGGAGGAACTACAGTACTCAATGCAATGCACCAAAAATTATTTGAAAGGCAACTGCGATCAGATGAATGGCACAGCACAGTGCGAAAAGGACATAAGCAGATGGTTCAGCTCAGAGACCTGATGTCATGTTCCATGCAAACTATTGTGGAGTCCTGTAGCTCAGTGGTTAGAGCACTCGCTTTGCAAGCGAGAGACCTGAGTTCAATTCCAGACAGGGCGAAACCTTGGGCAAGTTTCCTTACTCCACACAGAGCCTAATAATAATCCCTCCAAATCCCAAAACAATAATAAATTGGTCATTTTCAATCTACGACTGTTTGTGGGACATTGCTGTGCGCAATTGGCTGCCGCGTTCGCCCACAAATATACAGTCAATTCACTTTACAGTGTGTTCTGTGAAGCGCTTTGGGACGTCCTCCCGACGTGAAAAGCGCTATATCAAATGCAAGGATTATTATTATTATTATTATTTCGGTGAAGGTGTGTTGATGTGCAGCCTGCATTAACCCACTGGAGCCAACATGTTACAGCGAGAGGAGGGACAGTTTTGTTTTTAAAAAAAATGTCAATAACAACCACAACACAGAGAAAGAAACATGCGAAGTGTCACTTCGAAGTTACGGTGGAAATATGTATTTGCACGTTGCAGCTCTCGTGGCCCAAACGTGCATTTGCGACAAATTATTCCAATTGGTGTCGAGCCGTCAGTAATGCTCTGTCTAACTTTCTTTCAAACCTCATTATTTTCCTGAAATGAGAGAAATGACCTGAGTGGATTGGCCAACGCGTGTCAGAAATCTAATAAGCAAAGTTGCAGTCCAGTGCATTAACAAATTTAAAAGGTAATTTCACTTCGAATGCCTTAAGCTGCTAAAAGGTAAGATGTTTTTTTCCCCCCCCTCTCCCCACCCCCCATCCCCTCGTTCCGCAGTCTCCAACTTTATTTTAATATCCATCGGTATTTATTCACAACATTTTTTTAATTGATGGAATTTATCCCCTTTTGTTTTTGTCTGGTTGCAATGGTTTTTAATACGCTGAGCCAATTTGTTGCAGTTTTTCTTTCTCCACCCCCCCCCCCCCCCCCAAAAGCCCTTTACTGGCAATAATGCGCTTTCTTTTAAATAAAACAAGCAACTTGCTTAATGAAAATGTGATGATCCGTGACAATTTCTAAAGGGACTGGAGAGAGAAGGAGAGAGAGAGAGAGAGAGAGAGACACATTCGCTTGAGGGTAATAGGCTATTAATGTTTCATATTAGTAATCGATCAAAAAGATTTGCAAAGCAAGGCATACAGAATTACATTTTAATTACATTAGGAATGTTATTCTATTCGGGACGGGCTAATCGCTGGCACATTTAAATAAGGTTAGCTCCCAGCCTGTGACCCCCCCCCCCACACACACACACCCCTGGAAAGTGCAGCGCTCTATTAAATGCTCTATTAAATGCCACTCATGTTTCAACGCTCCCCCTCGACTCGTTGTCGTCTGCACTTGAAATAAAGGTGCAATTGAAAAAAAAAGTCTCTTTCTCTCTCTCTTTCTCTCTCGTGTCTTTATATATATATATATATATAAAAAAACACCAAAGAAAAACCCAAACTGTGATGGAGTGCCCGGGCTCGCAGAGAGAAAAAAAAAGGCACTGCAATCCAATTGCAACGTGTTAAGTTTCAAATGGGTTTATTTAGCTGAAATAGGTCGCATTTGCTCAGCTGTGCAGCTGAAATGCTAATGCACTCTCACACCATCCTCTGTTTTTTTTTCTCCCCCCCCCCTTCCTTCCTTCCTTCCTTCCTCCCTCCTCCCACCAGGGAAAAAAAACCAAAACCCTGAGCTTTGGAACGAAATCCCCTTCTTCAACAGCCAAACAATCCGTGACTTTGTGTGTGAGCTCCAAAAAAAATTGCAGGTCACATTCCCACCTCATCTTCTTGTCATTGCAGTAAATTCTCACCCACCTCCCCCCCCCCCCCCCCCACCCACACGTCCAGATACTTTTAATCTACTTTGATTTCTTCGGACACCCTTTTAAATTCCCATTTGCAACACCCATTCTCCCCCCAAACACTTGAGTGACTTGAGAACACTCCAAAACAGGTGGTAGTGGGGGGGAAAGAAGAAGCGCATCCTTTTTTGTGTGTGTTGTTGTTGTTGTGGCTTATTTTTTCGTGTGTGTTGTTGTTGTTGTGGCTTATTTGTGTTTGTGTGTGTATGTGTGTTGCTTTGCGGGGGTCGTGGTTTTGGAGTTTAATCCGACGCAGTGTTAATGAACCCAGAGAACAAAACCAAGTCGCTTTCTCGTACGACAACCGTGGACCCCCCCCCCCAACTCACCCAACCCCTCCGCCCCCAAGTTTTTTTTTACCGACGCATGCAGAATCTTAACGACAGAAATAGGAATACTGTCCGCGATTTGGATAGAACCGGGAGAGGAGGAGGAGGGGTGTTTTTGGGGTGGGGATGGAGGGGGGTGTGATGGAGGGGGTTTTGAGGTGGGGATGGAGGGGGGGTGATGGAGGGGGTTTTGGGGTGGGGATGGAGGGGGGGTGATGGAGGGGGTTTTGGGGTGGGGATGGAGGGGGGGTGATGGAGGGGGTTTGGGGTGGGGATGGAGGGGGGTGATGGAGGGGGTTTTGGGGTGGGATGGAGGGGGGTGATGGAGGGGTTTTGGGGTGGGGATGGAGGGGGGTGTGATGGAGGGGGTTTTGGGGTGGGGATGGAGGGGGGGTGATGGAGGGGGTTTTGGGGTGGGGATGGAGGGGGGGGGGTGATGGAGGGGGGGTTTCGGGTGGGGATGGAGGGGTGTGTGATGGAGGGGGTTTTGGGGTGGGGATGGAGGGAGTGGGGTGGGGGGGTGATGGAGGGGGTCGGTCCTGCAGGAGGTGAACTCTGAGTGCAAACAGGTACATGCACCGCGGATAACGTTAACCATTTCAAAGTTGTTTCTCTCTCTCACTCTCTCTCTCTCTCTCTCTCGATTAAAACTTTTCTTTCTTTGTGTGTGTGTGTGTGGGGGGGGGGGGGGGGGGGGGAGGGAGGAGAGAGAGAGGGGTTGCTCCCCCCCACTCCACCCCCCCCCCCCCCCCGCCCACTCCATCCCTCGGCAGCCACATCCAATTCACATGGTCCAGAGCTGCAGGTTGAGATGTTGGGGTCGCAACCAAGAAGCGGCGCCGTGGTCCCGGCCGCTGTCCCGGGGCCCGGGCGGGGGAGGGGGCGGGGGAGGGGGCGGGGGGTCCGGGGCGGACAGGATGTAATCGATGCTGAATTTGATCTCGGAGGCGGCTTTCTGCAGCTCAGGCTCTCTGCCCCCGAGGGGCAGCGCGGAGGCGCCCCCCCCCTCCCCCGCCGCGCCTCGGCTGTAGGAAACGCTGCGTAAAAGGTGCTCGACCTCTCCCGGGCGCGGGGCGCTGTGGCTGTGGTTGTTGTTGTTGTTGTTGTTGTTGCTGCTGCTGCTGGTGGTGGTGTTGTTGTTGCTGTCGTTGCCCCGGAGCTGCTGCTCTTTTCGGGCACATTTGACGTTCCTCCGCCTCCGCCGCCTCCGGTAATTCCCGTTTTCGAACAGATCCAACATCGACTCACACCCGGACGCGAAGGTCCAGAAGTTCCCCTTTCCTCTGTCCTTCCCCTCCGCTCTGGGGACCTGCAGCCGTTTACAGTCCAATCACATACACATCAACACACAACACAACACAACACAACACACACTTCTTCAGTACATTTTCCCTCTTATTGGCTTAAAGCGCTCAAGAAAACCCTTTCGCCAATGTGTCGGATCGATCGATCAATCAATCAATCAATCGATCGATCGATCGATCGGTGGGGTGTTCCCAGCCGGAGTGACTGTAACGCCGCAGCGACACCGTCATTTTCACGGCGATTAACGCGGCTCTCGCGTGTAAGAGGGTCGTGAAAGTTTGCAACATTTTGGCTCTCGGTTTTGGTTTGGAGACTCTTTAACTCATCGGTGATGGGGTTCCGCCTATGGCAGACAGTGTGTGTCTGACCCCCCCCCCCCCCCCCCCCCGCCCCCCACTCAGTACCATTGACAGGAGGATGTAACCGATCGTTTAAAAGTCCCCAAAACATGTCTCGAGTTATCCATTTGTTCCAAACCCGAAACAATTTGAACGTCACCCGGAAAGCCTTCGCACTGTTCAATTTAGATTATGAAACTGGTAAACTTTCCACGGGTTTGTCCCTCGTGGATGATGGGCTGCATTTTAAAACGCGGCTGTAGATTAATGGGATTGTCATCACATCGACGCGAATAAGTTATTTGGAAAACAGAATAATAATCTCTGGTCACCAGTACCTTTGATCAGCAATTTAGCATTTACTTCTGGGTCCATTCTCACATAACGTGTGGGAATGAAACTCGATTTTCGACTGTTTAACTCCGCTGCTCTCTGAGTGAGCTCGTTAGTTATTAGTTAGTTATTAGTTAGTTATTAGTTAGTTATTAGTTAGTTATATCTTTCCCAATGACTTGCCCATGAAGACCCACATCAAGTCGTTCGAGCAAAAAGAAAGGTAACGCCACTTTATCCCCCACATTCCCTCTTGGTCCAAACATAGCCCCCAAGTTCACACCAACCGACCGCTCATCCCACTATTTGTGTGTGTGAGTTTCTGTTGATTATATCACAACCCTCGGTCGCATTCTCAGCCTTCACACACTTCACACACACACAAAAAAAACGGAGACCGTTTAGCTTTCGCGAAAGGCGACGAATGAATACAATTTGCGGAGTGTTACCGTCGTCGTTGATTATTGTAAGTGGGTAACGTTGTTCCGATTTAACAATAAGTCGTAGCTGTTACGAATGTGCAACGTTACAATCACCATTGATCATCGTCGTGCTGCTGACAACTTTGGAGGAATAAGTGTCACCGTTATCGTTACACACCAAGAAAAGAAAAACAACACGTCGAGGTGGAAAGCAGAAAGCCATCGCTCACCTTGACAAAGCAGCTGTTGAGAGAAAGGTTGTGCCGGATTGAGTTTTGCCAGGCTCTCTGGTTGGATCTGTAGTAGGGAAATTTCTTCATGATGAACTCATAAATCCCAGAGAGAGTCACCCTGCAACCCGGACTCTGCTGGATCGCCATTGCAATGAGAGCAATGTAACTGTGAGACAGAAAAATAAAATCGCAAATGTTAGTTAGGTTCAGGGCAAAAACAGGAACCCACCCCTTCTTCTCCTCCGTTAAGCCTTGAAATACCCCCATCGTTACCTGTACGCCGGTCGGGATACCTGCTTATCCTCGTCAGGGCAATGCGGATAACCGTCCCCATCGTAATTGAAGCAATTGTAAGGGTATTGCGAATTATCGAACATGATAACGAGAGGTGACAGGGATTCCTCTTGTGTGTCTGCGTGTTGTGTGTTGTGTGTGTGTGTGTGTGTTGTTGTTGTGTTGTGGTTATCAGTGCCTCTGGCACAGAAAGAGAGAGAGAGAGAGAGAGAAAAGTTAACACTCCCCACCAGTAACTGGGACTCGGGGGCACCAGGGAAACCGGTCAATGTCTCTCTCCAGTGCCCTAACGCTGGAGAGATCCCCAGGTCCACTTTGGGGTTTAAAAGGACGCGTCCGTTTATGATCCCCTCGGTTTTTACTCTAACCTAAAAGGTCTGCGGGGATATTGCTTTCACCCCCACCCCCCAACACCCCCCCCCCATCACTATCCACCCACCCACCAACCCCTTCTCCCCCTCCTGCCCGCGCCTTAGTTGCATTGCATTTAATCTGGAGCGTAAAAGGAAGAAGAAGAAGAAAAAAAAAGTCTGGTAATAACTCAGTAAATTGGTTAGTCCTGGCGTGAACCTTTGAACTCGCTGCCTCTCAACCAGTAGCGCTCTCTCTGTGTGTGTGGGTGGGTGGAGGGTGTGGGTAGGGGGGGGGGGGGGGGGGGGTTGTGGGTGGGTGGTCTGACGTGAGTCAAACACAAAACCCACACAAACAACTACAGGGCTCTCTCCATCATTTCACAGTGCAACTTTGGGTATTTTTTTTTTGGGGGGGGGGGGAGAAATGTTATGAAATACCTACACACACACACACTACCCTCCCTATCATGCGGAATCCTAATTTTTTTGATATATATATATATATGTGTGGGTGGAGGTCGAAAAGGGAATAATAAATCCTTGCAAAAGTAAATCCCAAGCCCAGTCCCCATCAGGGCTCGAGCTGATCTAATCTGTAATGTAGGATAATGGACATAAATTGTATTTCCGTGACTAAAAAGGGACAGGCATTGCCTTCGAAACCGCCAGAACACAGAAATCTCAGTGATTTCTGACAAATAGGAGAGTTAAAAGCTAAACAGCCCCGGGCTAACCCTGCCTGTGTGTGGGCTTTGATCTCTTGTTTCTGAAGACATAAGTAGGCAGTGTTGGAATACTGTAACAGTAATAAGACGGTCTCCCTCCTATGTTTTGTTGCATTTCCAAAACTTCACGGCGTGCATTTTTAGTTGAAGAAAACAGGCCCGTAGGTACAGGAGGAGGCCATTCAGCTCCTCGAGCCTGTTCCGCCTTTCTATAAGATCATGGCTGATCTGTACCTCAACTCTGATTATCTGCCTTTGCCCCATATCACTTGATACCCTTACATAACAAAAATCTATCCAAGTCAGTCTTGAAAATTAATAATAATCATCATAAAACTTCAATGGATCCAGCATCCACAGCCTTTTGGGGGCAGAGAGTTTCAGATGTCCACTATCCTTTGCGTGATTTCATTACTAAATGACCTAACTCCAATTTTGAGATCACCACTTTAGGGCAATGTGTTCTTTCCATGCGATTTAATCGGCTAAGTTACAGTTTCAGCTCCAACATATTGCCCCGCTAATTATAAGCACTCTAGGGGCTGGCAGATAGACTTATTTATTGTACTTTGATATTTCGTTAACAATTCCCTTGCCGTGTATATGTGAGTGTTTGTTCTTAATGAAATTTAAATATATATGGATATATATATATATATATATAATGTTATTTCATTAAAAAAGTCTCCATTATTTTGGATCTCTAAAAGTGCCAGAAATAACCATTTCAAAGCTGGGATGATGTGCCAAGTTTACATACAAGTTAAGAGCTATGAACTTCCTACTGTCCACTGGGTCAGTCTAGGAGGGTTGCTGGAGACATTGCTTATTATAAGGGGATCCTTCACTTCCAATGTTCTTGGCTACTCGGCTACTTGTCACCCAGAAAGGAGAAGCGGTCGGGGGAGAATTACATTTCTTTTCAGGTACCAAGGCACAGGTAATCTCAACTGTATGCTTTTTTGTTTTTTTGTAACGTGTTTCTTTCAGTGTCATGTTAATGTTAAGCGTAATCCCCACTTAATGCAAAGATTATTCTTTTATTGCAATGCACTGGTTTTGCTCTTTTTTAAAAAAAAAACCAAATAATACAAATTGCAGGTTAAACAAATCTTGTAAACTGTCATGTTCCAGCCTGGAGTTGGTATATATGTGATACTTGCCTTAAATCATCATTATTCCACTCAACAACAATATGGTGAGGTCTCCAACTGTGAAAATAACTTTATTTCTTATTAAATACAATAAAAAATAATAATAATAATAATAAATATCTCCCTCCCCCAAATCCCGGGCAGATAAAATGAATAAAATCAGTGATAACCATAATTTCTATTTGGGGATTATACACTCCCCCCCCACCCCACCACCCCCCACCCCCTACCCCATTGCTATCTTTGACCTCCCACTCCAACCCCTTATACCCCACAAACAAACTATACTTAGAGCAAAAGGGATCAAAAGGAATGATCAATGCGTGGCTTTTTTTTCCCACAGACACACACATGTAATTACGGAGCAATAATTGCCCGCAGTCAGTCACACGCACCACGACAAGAAAAGAGAGGGTAGCGGTGGGGTTGGTATTTATGCAAAGAAATAACTTGTAACACTGCAAGAAGGGATGTGCACAGCGCAGACCGAGTTCTGAGATGAAAGCAGAGAGGGGGGGAAGGAGAGAGAGAGAGAGAGAGAGAGAGGGAGAGAGAGAGAGAGAGAGGGACGGGGGAAGAAGTCTGCACTTTAATCTGCACCAGAACGGTCCTTTCGCTCAAGAACGCGCGTTTCTAAACGATGCCCATCGTCCCGGATCGGTGTGTGTGCGTAGAAGGTACGACGTTGTGGAGGAGATCCCTTCGCAAAGCCGAGCGCTAAATTTGACAGCATTTTCTATTTGTGTGTGTGTGTGTGTGTGTGTGTTTTTAACTTAACTTTCTCGCGAGTTGCACTGGATATTCCGGGGTCGCGATTTGGTTTCATTCGCAAAGTCGATGACAACAAAAATCCGCGGATTCGCTGACGGCGAATAATATCATATTATTAATATTATTAATCATTAATCATTTCAACCCACAGGTGTGGGTGTGTGGGGTGTGGGGGGTGTGTGGGGGGGTGTGGGGGGGGGACAGACACTGCTGTGCGCATTTGTCTTCCACGTTTCACCCACATCTTAAATCATAAGACAAAAATACTGTTACAGGTGTTTCAGTCCAACGGTATTTGTTACAGTGAGAATTTCAGGAGCTTTTTAATTATGCTTTCTCTACCCATCCAAATTGTCAGTCGGCTCTCACAAGAAACTGGTTGATATCAGTCTCTAAACTAACTTAAACTGCGGGTTACAGAAGAGTTGTGTTTGAAACTTGGCAGACTGTATTTTACCAGAACATTTTTTTCACCATCAAAATGTTCTGGAGGTATAACTATTGAAGCAATAATTATCTTAATAAGTACTCTGCGCGACAATGCTTCTGTGCATTTAATAGCCTACCTCAGAGAGCCAAAATATCAATTGCTTTTGCAGAAAAATTTAGATTAAAATAAAGAAACTAAATGGCATGCCAAGAGCCCAAAGGCGGTTATCCAGCTGCCTTTGTCAAATTATATCCAGTTAGCACATTTTTTAATAAAATTTGCACACGTGTAAACGTTTCCGTGCTATTTCTATCTCGGATCTGCTGAGGTTTGGGAGATTGTAGAAATTTGGCCTTTGGTGGCCAATATCTCTGTTCGATTCGTACTGTAAAATGGCAAAAATCAGAGGGTAGGAAAGTGAGCAAGAATTAACAGATAGAGTTATCCGCATAAGCGGAATAGGATCCGCTTAGTGTGAGCTTTAGATTTTCAATTTCTATAACCTATGTACTCAGCACAGTGCATGAGAAGAATCATGGGCAGCTAAGGATAGTTTTGATCTCTAATCTACCAGCGTCTACCAGTTAAGAACCAAAAGGCAGAAAGTAATAATAATAATCCTTACATTTGATAGAGCACCTCGTCGCGTCGTTGAGACGTCTCAAAGCGCTTCACAGAATATACTGCAAAGTAAATCGATTGTATATTTTGTGGGTGAAACGTGGCAGCCAATTGCGCACAGCGGTGTGCCGAAGCAATCGTGGATTGAGCGGTAAAAATTATTGCGGAAATTGTGGAAAATATACTTGCGTTCAGTCTGAAATTAAGCCCATCTCCGTTGGTAGCACTCATACCTCTGGATCTGAAGGTTGGCTGTTCAAGACCATTGTCAGGACATTGAGCTCATTGTCCAGCCGGATATTTCAGTGATAATAATAATAATAATAATAATCCTTGCATTTGATATAGCGCTTTTCACGTCGGGAGGACGTCCCAAAGCGCTTCACAGAACACACTGTAAAGTGAATTGACTGTATATTTGTGGGCGAACGCGGCAGCCAATTGCGCACAGCAATGTCCCACAAACAGTCGTAGATTGAAAATGACCAATTTATTATTGGTTTTTTTTGTTTTTGGAGGAATTATTATTTGTTGTGCTGGGGGTGATGGGGAGATGCTGTGTTGTTTGACTACTGCCCTTCAGATGAGATTTCCCTAAAATACACTGTTGCTGCACTTTACAGAAACGTGTGAGATTTTCTTGACATTATAGACACTGTATCAAATACAAGGTTTGTTATTCATTTGAATTCTGGTTTGTTTTAAGAGCTGTGGATAAAATTTCAAACCTTATCACAAGATTGGTTTGGATGAAGACGTCCCTTCAGCCCAGAGGATCTCATGTCCTCTCAGCACACCATCAAATTGTTTTTTTTAAATGAGTACAATGAGTACAATGTCCTCATTCACTCTTCCTAGCGATTTGTCATCAATTACCCTTTGGGTAAAGGAAAACCTCCTTGCATCTGTCTGGAAATTGCTTTTTGCAACTCTAAACCTATGGCCACTTGTATTGGTGCATCCAAAGTATTTTTCTGTGTTTACTTTTTCAATCGTATTTAAAATTTTATACACCTCTGAATCATCTTT